TATTTAATTAAATTATCTAATAATTCATTTATTTATTGATCAAACGGAATGTCTATGTTAGGCCAAACCTACGAAAATAAAATGCAATAATATATATTATATAAATTAATACAATCACAGATCATTACAATCCTTCAGCTTAATCTCGAAAAAACTACTTAAGATTATTATATTATCTTATTGGATTGATTATAGGTATTAGGTGGTTCAAGCGTACTTAATACCATGTTGTATATTCGTGGGAATCGTCGTGACTTTGATCAATGGGAAAGCTTTGGTAACCCTGGTTGGGGATACGACGATGTACTCCCATACTTTAAAAAGTCACAGGATCAAAGAAACCCATATTTAGCGCGAAACACTAAATACCATAACACAGGTGAACTACGATTTTGATTATTCATAAAATTAAGAAAACTGAGATGATTAATTTTTTGAAACAAGACATTACAAGTGATATTGAGACATCTATTCATTCTCATGCACAAATGGATTTTACAGGTGGTTATTTAACTATTCAAGAGTGTCCTTATAAGACGCCACTGGCTCCAGCATATCTTCAAGCTGCAGAAGAGATGGGTTATAACATCGTGGATGTAAATGGCCAACAACAAATGGGCTTTGCATTGCCTCAATATACAATGCGCAAGGGCGCTAGATGTAGTGCAGCCAAGGCATTCGTGCGTCCCATCAAATTTCGAAAGAATTTTCACCTATCGTTATGGAGTCATGTCACGCGTGTTCTCATAGATCCAAGTACCAAAAGAGCATACGGTGTAGAATTTATTAAGAATGATCGTGTTGAGACCGTATTTGCGAAGAAAGAAGTTATACTTTCGGCAGGTGCTATAAATACTCCTCAATTATTGATGCTGTCTGGAATCGGTGCAAAGAATCACCTCGAAGATCTTGGTATTCCAGTGATTCAAAATTCACCTGGTGTTGGACAGAACCTTCAAGATCATATATCCATTGTTGGTTTAACCTTCCTTATCGACCACGAGATCAGCTTTGTTTATAATCGCATATTAAATATAAACTCAATATTGAAATATGCAATTACCGAAAACGGTCCACTAACTTCGAGTATTGGTATCGATGCAGTAGGCTTTTTATCAACCAAATATGCTAATCAGACGGATGATTGGCCTGATATAGAGTTCCTAATTACCTCCGCCACTATAAATAGCTCAGGTAAAGTACCAAAAAATGCTTTTTGCTTAAAGGACAATTTTTACGATGAAGTCTATGGAGAGATCACAAATCGTGATAGTTTTCATATCATTCCTATGATTCTAAGACCTAAATCTTTAGGTTATATACATTTAAAGTCAAAAGATCCACTCGATTACCCATTAATGTATCACAATTATTTAACGAATCCTGATGACGTAAATGTTTTACGAGAAGGAGTCAAAGCAGCAATTGCATTTGCTGAAACGAGTAGCATGAAAAGATTTGGGACAAGATTTTACAGTAAGCCATTGCCAAATTGTAAACATCTTCCGATGTTCACGGATGAGTATTGGGAATGTGCAATTCGACAATTCACAATGACAATTTATCATATGAGCTGCACTGCGAAAATGGGTCCACGATCTGATCCAATGGCGGTCGTAGATCCCTCTTTAAAAGTATATGGAGTAGAAGGACTTCGAGTGATCGATGCTTCGATCATGCCTACGATCACTAGTGGAAATATCAATGCACCTGTAATAATGATTGGTGAAAAAGGTTCGGATCTCATAAAGAAGGATTGGATGTTTAGACGAAAGAGAAGCAATGAGACTATCTCAGGTTCTTTCAATCAATATTAGATATTTAGGATAGTTCATCGAATGAAAGTAAATTAAATATTTTTATTATTGCGTCATATAAAATAATTACGAGAATAGATAGAAAGCTTTAATAACTTGTTTTTAAGGCTTACGTTTCCTATTTCTTTTTCTGTTGTAAGAATGGTGTTCTATAAAATTAATATGTGCTTAATCAAAATCTAGTTATATCATTTAGCTATCGTAAACAAATTAACTGTAGAATTATTAGAGATAATTTATATTTTTAAAAACTTGACAATCCAATTTGTTTGCATGTTTCCCATTTGGAGTTAACATTCATTACATCTTGGGACTTTACAATGTATAACTGTAGTTGGCCCTCTTGATTCTTTTCCTTTTTTCTTATTTTGTAATTTTTTATCTAAGATAGGATGTTCTCCCTTTTACATCCTTATCATTCTTAACATAAACAAGAAGCAATTTCTGTTTTATAATCTTGATGATTATATATTATATAATAGGCAATCTCTTCTTATATTAATGCCAAGCATGTATTATTTTTAAATTCAATAATAGACGCCAATATCAATGATATCATCTTTTTGAATGAATTTTTATCCGGTACAAAGCAATTAATCAGTCGACTAAGTTTACCTCATCCGTGAATTTATTCTGTAACGCTACTATATTTGGGGTTTCAAAATCAATACTTTCCTAAGTCTTTTTGTCCCATCTCTTCAATGTACTTGTTAACTGTGCTCTATAATATATATTTATTAAAGTCACACCATCTATATTTATGCAGTATTTTTCTTAACCGGTTTTTTTTCGCTACTTCATTAGAATGAACAATTTTCAATTTATTTGACCGTACAGTTGCAATGTTTTGAATTTCGATTTTGTTAAGTTCTACTACTAAATCAAAACTTTTTAACAACAATTGTCTAAATAAATTTTGTGAAATAATATTCTTAATACAATTTTGGAGAAAATCAACGCTCTCATTAATTTTTTTTTCTATCTGCGCAAAACCTATCATTCCTACGAACATAGAATTTTTGAAGATATCGCAGTATGATAATATTACCAATTGCCACAAATTCTTCACATAACAGAATATTTATTATCAATCTCTGTATAATTATATGATTGAACAATTTAATCAAATTTTAATAAAATTTATTGTACGCCGGAGAGTTGATGTCAGTACGCGTAAATAAATCTTAGTGATTAGAATAAAAATCTTTTTGAGATTTTACTTCATTATTTACAAAATAAACATAACACCTACAAATTATTGGATTATCTATGTAGAAATAACGTGGCAGCATACTACTCTGTCAAGCAATTAAAAAGTGCAGCAGGTATCAACGAGTTTTTCGTACTAGAACTTATTCACACGTTATTAGAAAGAGCAGTAAGAAAAATTCTTACAAAATGTTATTTAAGAAAATTAAACATTATTTTTATATTTTCAATGTATATTATAACGAAAAAAATCAGTATGTACGAATAAAAGAAGAAAAAGCAGTATTTCAAATTACAGCTTTATTCCTTTTTATGTTACTGCAGAAACTAAAAGAAACAAGGTAAATTTTCTACAAGTGTCAACAACATGTCATAAATATTACAGGAATTTTTTTATATAATAAATTTTTTTAAACATACTAGTTTTCGTAACCACATGGCAATACTATCATATGTTAAAAATTTCTCATGAAATTAATTTTATATTATAGCCATTCATATATTTTTGAAAAAACTTTCTCTTGAATAATAATATGAAAAAAAATAACTCATAATAATAAAAATCCAAATAAACTTATTTACTAATGATTATATGATTTTATATATTCATATTTATGATGTTAATTAATTTGAAGTTAACTAATTTGTTATTTTATTATGAAGAGTAAGAAGAAATCATTGCGGTAATTTCAAGCAATTCGCATCAATTCGTTATTACAAACCCATATTCTTGTAGTATACAACATCATTATTATTTCAACCAAAATACGAACTTTTTCAACGATTTCGGAAAATTGATTAAAAACGCACTTAACATGAAGGACGCGGCAACATAATATTCGATAAAATATACAGTGTTATCTTTCATGGATAACCAGATTTTTTGGGACTACATTGTCTTCTCCAATTAAAACCTACTGATAAAATCTACACCTGAAATATATTTTTACTTCACTTGTTTTCTTTCAACGCGATCATATGGATAAGGTTAATATCAATTGCGGAACATAGCAAAATTCACATATGAAATTATTTTACCCCTTTCTTTGTTCTTTATAATTGTTTCCAAAACGTTACTATACGAAACAAAACGAAGAGATATATTACAATTCTTCGAGCACGTACAATGAAATACTGGATGAGAAATGTTAATCCTATACCGACACATGAAAGAGATTCGGCATGATTTCTTTTCTTTGAGACTGATTAAAATTCGGCATATATCTAGAAAAACAGAAATATATTTCGGTCTCTACATACGATATAATAATCAAATTTAAATATTTTTCCACGTAAAACCAAACAAAAACATGTTGAATGGCTCAGACTTACCAATATTGCTTATAATTGATAATGGAAATACTTATACACCAGTTATCATGATTGGCGAAAAAGCAAGCGATATTATTAAAGAAATATTAACAAAAAAAAAAAAATATGAATAGTTTTAATTCTCTTGGAAAATTATTACTTATAATGTACATTAATTGAATTATACACAATCTAATATATAACATTAATATGTATTATTACGATACACTCAGGATTAGTTTACAAATAGAGATTTGAATGTATTAAACTTGATACGTTTTTTTTGTTTTTCGGTGAAATAAATCAAATGATATTCTTAGATATGATCCTATTTATAAATGAAGAATGAAGTATAATAATAAGTCTTATTAAGAGTACAACTGTTAACTAGCGTCTTAGAAACATTTAAGATAACGTATTAATTATACAGGCTCACTTATGGATAAAATCAGCAAAACTGATGGCAATGTAACTTTTTCATTAAATTTTTTCATCGTATTACACTGTTACATATATTTGTTTACAGTTCACTGTTGAAATAGCTATCTCTTAAAAATGCAGCAAACAAGTAACAGCACATACAATTATTTAACCATTCCAGAGTAACTATCTAGACATACCTACGACCAATAAAGTTATTCTTTACCATATTCCTTTCCTTTTTTCATTGTCTTTGATTATTCCAATCGTTTTATCGAATAGTCAGATAAAACGAAAAACTTTTTACCAGCGTAGCTAGTAGCGTCATTAACGAAATATTATTTCCGAAAACTTGTAATACGTAACGCTACTCACAAATATATTATATATTGTATTATCTATAATATTGTTATATAACATTTCGACTAAAATTAATAAATCGGTCAACCTCACATTGCTATTGATAAAAATTAGACCGCTTCGATTAATTTCGATTCAATTATGGTTTATAATAAATTTAACAAAATCTTGGGTAAAACGTGCGAAAATAATGATAGCAGAAACGTATCAAGTTTTCGTGTGACTAATCGTTTGCTAAACCTTAAAAAAAACTAAACAAATTATTACGAAGAAAGGAAACGTGTAATACGACGTGAAAACGTAAACATGAGAAAACCTACAACCGAACCCCCATTTCTATTGATACTCAATAAATGTATACTGAATATTCGCGAATGATGATAAATAAGAAGAATTTGGATATCATAAAAAAAGAGTTGTATATATAAATGAAAAAGAAACGATCATATCTTCAAAAACTATCATGAATCTCTGGAACTGGTCATCAAGATTTTTAATCTACTGTATAACGTGTCAAAGTAATCATCGAAATATGCATGATTAAATCCGAATCTCAGACATTTTAAATTATCATTGCAATGTTTCCATTTGTGTAAGCGCTGGGTAAATTTAATTAGTTGTGTTTAAATGAGATCAGTCGTTCGACAGTTAAACAAGAATATGATATGCTATTGGTGAACTTAGCTTATTTGTGAAAGGAAGAGACATAACTGAAATATTGAGAGTGGGAATGAAATGGAAATATAATTTAGGTGAGATAAGCAATGCATTTTAAATTTCCAAAACCATATGCGTGAGTGAGGAGTGGGGATAAAAATATCAACAGAAAAGACGGGAAAAAAGGAAGATAAAGATTAGTCATCAGTAGACCAAAAAGAGAGTACAAAAAGCAGAAGGCGACCTTAATTAACTGACCTCAGTGTACAGAGTAAAGTGCAAAGATTTATATCATTATAATATCTAATTAGTAAAATCCCTATTAACCATAAAAGCGATTCAAATTTCACTGGACTACATCTTACAGATAGAATTACAAAAAATATTGTACAATAATGTTCTGCACTGCCATTTCCGATAGATCACAGAAGAGTCGTCCAGCAAACTGAAAGGTGCCTCAGTGTGATCATTACGAATTCGAAAAGTCAGTTTGGCAACAAAATTTAGCACTAATTATTTTATATGATCTAATAGGTGAGTAAAGTCACAACTTCCGTAATACAAGTTGCTTACTCTGAACTCTTTAATGTCACGGACAAATGGAGTTATTATCCTAGTCAGTATAACACATATCTTCCTGAATGAGATAACGGTACGACTTGATACACTTTTATTATCAATTATTTCTTCGTTCTTGCAATTTTATCCAGTTAGAAAAAAGTACATGTACTCTTCGCATCATATTGATTTCTTAATCTCCAGGATAATCTTGTTCAGTAATGATAATTCGTCCGTGAGCTAGGAAAGTCCTGAGAGAATCCATGTCCTTTACTTGTTATTGGACTTGTTATCAACAGTTGTATGAATGATTATAATTATTACCAGATTCTTTTTTTAGTTGATTGAAATAAAAAATAGAAGAAACAATCATAATTACAAGAAGTAATCACTACTTATAGCCTAAAAGATAGTCTAGAACAATAAGCAGTCTCGCGTAAGATACTGAAACAACAAATAACTATAAACAAATCCCACAGCTCCGGAAAAAGTCAATTACGATTTAAAAAATATAGATATAAATTTGTACACAATATTGAGACTTAGCTTCCTTATCAACAAAACTATAAGTCACATGAAATTGAGAATTCCAAAGAATGGATCATCTTTTACAGATGTAATTAGTCATTATGTTTGATTCACATAC